GTGTGTAAGAAAACTGCAGGGACTTATCCAGACATAACTGAACAGAATATATATATATATTACACACACACTTCTGTGTGTGTGTGTGTGTGTGTGTGTATTTTGCATATTGGAAATATAATATTTATATACTATATAAAGAACCGTAGTAGCACGGTGGTTAGAATGCAGTATTGCAGGCTACTTCTGCTGACTGCTGACAGCAAGCAGTTCGGCAGTTTGATTCTCACCAGTTTGATTGACTCAGCTTTCCATCTTTCCAAGGTCGGTAAAATGAGGATCCAGATTGTTAGGGGCAATATCTGACTCTGTAAACCACTTAGAGAGAGCTGTAAAGTACTGTGAAGTGTATATAAGTCTAAGTGCTATTGCTATAGCTATATATTTTGTAAATAAGGCAAGTTCATTAAAATGCAAGTGCAGTATACAAATAAACATAAAATTATTAATAAAATTTCTAAGTAATCCATTTCTTTTCTGGGAACTTAAACTATACCTACATTTGAAATCAATGATGCTTTGAATTAAAACATTAGAGAAGTATTTTAAAATATTTTCAGCCTCCATATATTCCTATGACTCAAAAATGTTTCTGTCAATATTTGAACATTATATTCTTGTATTTCTGTCATCAAGAGCTTTTACAATTTGGATAGAAACCAAATGTTTATTTTTCTGCCATGATACAATACAGTGTCCAGTATACCTACCAGTCCCTGAGGAAAAACCAGGGCTTTGGAAATTATAATTCTTGATTTCATTATACCATCTGTCAGCTACTTCACTTCCTGCAAGACAAAGAAAACTGTGTAATGGAACTGGAATGAAGTGAACTTTTCTCTTCTCTTCTCTTCTCAACAGTTACAGATCAACAATTCTTTTTATTAATTTCAGTTTGATTTAGATATTGACCATTAGTCATTATAGTTTGATTTCTTAAGAAATTATTAAAATAAGTTAGATGAAATTGTAAGCACATAATACTATTGAAAGAATTTTTAAATGCCTGGAATTTAAAGCTATGAAATAGATATTTATGAATAAATAATTTGTAATTATTAAAATATTTGCATGCTACTTTCTAAAATCTTTAATTTATTTAACATCAACGTGCATATAAGCACAAGATAAGGGAAAATGTTGATATTGAAGTACTAACCCATATTGGGACTATTTAAAGGCATATAGGAACTCCATAAACATAAGTACATGAGACCGGGGACAGGTTTGTGCACACTGTTATATCAGAATGGGACATTTCACTATGTCCAGCTCGCCATTGCCAACTCACTATTACCAAGTTGCCGCAGGACAATTCCACATGGCTAACTCACCACAGAGACAACTCATTGCGGGCAGTCGGAGGAAGAACTTTAAGAGTTGTTAACCTCATTTTACAAAACTTCTTCTCCGGCAACATTGAATTGTTAACTAGGGCATTCAAAACCTTTGCCAGACCAATTCTCAAATGCAGCTCATCTGCCTGAAATCCGCACTGTATATCGGACATTAGCACAATTGAGCTGAGTTCAGGGGTATTTCTCCAGGAAAGTACTCCACTCCGCCACTCACAATAGAATTCCCTAAGCCACCAGGCTTGAAATTTTGGGCCTGGACAATATAGAACTGTGCCGCCTGTGGTCCGATCTAAGCATAGTACAAAAAATTGTCTGTTACAATGTCTTACTTGTCAACGACTTCTTCAGCCTCAATCACAATAATACATGGGCAAACAACTGATACAAACTCAAGGTAAACCACTCCAAACTTGATTGCTGAAAATACGACTTCAGCAACAGAGTGATCAACGCCTGGAATGCCCTATCCAACTCTGTTGTTACAGCCTCAACTCCTCACAGCTTCAACGTCAAACTGTCTCCTGTGGACCTCATCCCATTCCTAAGAGGTCCTTAAAGGGGGCATACATAAGTAAACCAGCATGCCTACCGTCCCTGTCTTACTGTCCCCATTTATCTGTATTTACTCCCTTTGTTCTTGTTTATGTTCATACTTATACTTGTTATCTTGTACATGTTTGACAAATAAATAAATAAACCAGGTGGGCAGGCAGGGGAGAGCGTGGGTAGGGAGAATGTGTGGGGTGCAGTGGTCAAGCTAATAGGCAGGCAGAGTGGGCAGGGTGCGGCAAGATTGCCCGGGCGATTGGAGGAAGAGCCAAACAGGTGACCGAGTAGTGAGCAGCACTGGTGGGTTTCAAAAAATTTTCCTACCAATTCGGAGAGCTTGCTTCACAGAAGGAGAACCATGCAGATAAGCAAGTGGTGAGCAGAACACACAGAGTGGGTGGATAGGTGTTGGTAGTGTCAGGGATTTTTGGTTCATTATGTGAAGGATGTGTGTTTGTGTTTATTTTCATGGTCATGGTCATAATGTGCACTGAAGATGGTGTTTGATTTCATTTACGAGGTGCAATGACAATAAAAGTAAACTAAACTAAACTAAACTAGAGCATGCAGGGTGCAGCAGGAGGTTGGACCATACCACCAGCTGCGGTAGCAGCCAGAACTGAAAGTGCAGTGTGTGTCCCGCCATGCAGAAGCAGCCACCCGCCAGCCAATTGGTGCTCGGTGCAGGCTGCCATGGGATTACTTGAAAATGAATCTGAGGCATAGGAAGCTCAGTGTTAATTTTTTTTCCCTTGAGAATATATGCATATTATCTGAAAAAAATAAGTCCCAATGCCTGGCTGAGTTGCCTGAATTCAATCCTAGGAATCCTAGTTGCTGCACTGGGCTCTGGACAGAAGAGGCCGAGGATGGTGGGGCAGGCAATATAGGGGCACCAGCTGCATGGGGAGGATAAGGTGTGCTGGCATCACCGTGGACACATAAGATGCATTGGACAGAGCCAGGGGTGTTCTGGGTGCTGCCATGGCCCATGTCAACTTGCACGAAACATTGGTTGGCCAGTAACTGGGCTGCTGCAGCTGCTGCTGTGTGGTGGGACACGCTCTATGCTGCTTCTTCTGTTAGTGGCATGGTCCATCCTCCTGCCACACTCACAAGCTCTGCCAATCTGCTCTCTCACCTGCCACACCCTGCATAGTCTGCCAACCTACTCGCTTATTTATCCACCTGGTTTTTCCTAAAGCCACCCATGGTGAGTTATCCCCCCCAGTGAGTTGACAGTGTGAAATTATCCTGTGTCAACTTGGCAAAGGCGAGTTGGCAGAAGCGAGTTGGCCAGATCATGCTGGCCAGAGCAAGCTGGCTGCGGTGAGCTGTCCTAGACCCCTACAGCTCAGCCAAAAACATTGCTGTAAAAATGGGAAAATCTTTATATATATTACCTTGAATTCATGGCTGATGATGGAAAGGCAATATGAGATGGCATATATACTATGCCCTGCATATTCCTTTTCTAGTTTCACTTATCTTCAACAACTTTTTCCAATCATTGGGCCACTGTTGTTGGTATCTTTCAAATCTTTGTTACCTTATTCCTATTCTCTGCATTTTATTACAACAGTAATGTGAGGTAGACTGAGGAGAAATATTGTCTAGCCTCAAGTTATCCTATGAGCTTCATGATTAAATAAGGACTTGATTTGATCTTACTACTTTAGTCTAATAATTTAATTACTTTCCTAGTATCATTGATCTACCAAAACTATCCAGCAATAACAGATTTAAGGCACAGCAGCATTAGATAAGGTAGAGAGAATATAGCTATCCAAGAATAGTTCAATCCCTTTACTTGTGACCAAATAGAATGTCTGAAAAACCAAGAATACAAGTGCTTGATCTATTGAAAATTTTGGTTGCAAATAACTTCATCTGTTTTCTGCAAAGCATTTTAATATATTCTGTAATTTACTAAGCTTCCCTTTCCCAAATATTCTAATACTTACATTGTACATGTTACTTTTAAAGCACACATTTGCAAATACATATTTAAATTTTGGAGATATATATTTAAGCATATTTTTTAAAAAGTCTGCAGATTGATATATAAATAAGTCAAGTTTATGGATATACACAAGCAAATCAGAAAGATTTATTTGCTCAATAAAGGAGTGGGATGAAAAATCAGAATAAGGAAAGGAATGGAGAGATGTCACTAGACCAGGTTTAAGGGAAATTCAAATTTCCCTTAAGTTCGCATGGGTAGGAAAGAAATAAAAATTAAGGGAACCTTTCCATATTTTAAAAAGTGCTACAAGCAAAATTCAAGAGAAATTAATGTTGAAGCTCCCTTTAAAATAATATTTCCAGATCATTTTCCATAATGCAGAGTTCCCCTTTTCCAAAAATGTTAAAAAGGGGGAAAATTTACATGATACACTTGACTTCATTTCATTAGTCCATAAAACTCAAAATGTCTCTTGATTTGGTCTGCTTATAGTTCAGCTATCAAGTTCCATCAGAGTAAATGGAATGTGCATAAATGAATCTTGGCACAGAGCTGCTCCTTCTGGAACATGTGGGATAATTTGCATAGAAGCTTACACTGCATAATATTTAGAACCCTAGATAGGGTACAATATCTATGAAAGATTAACAGGCTGTTGAGTAGATATTTTAAATGCATTTATTAATTGGGGTTCTGTTTCTATGTGCTACAGCTTACACTATATAAGATTTGTTTTTGTTTTTTTACACTAAAAGGTTTAATACATGCTTTTCGTATATAGGAACAAAGATTTATTTTACCTGATTGATCGTATGAAGCCCATGCTAGATTTTCTCCACATTTTCCACTGCTAGATTCAGGACTGTGTTTGAGGATTCTTGTGCTAGCAAGTGCTTCAGAATACCTTGTTTAATACAATAAGCAAGTATTTGCTAAATATAGAGAGCACATAGCCTAAAGGATTTAGTCAGAAGTATACATTTAATTTGAAAAGAAATTTTACACTGGTGGGGAAAAGCCATCTATCCCCACTTTTCCTGCTAACCTTTCCTGTTTTATTGCACCACCTCTGCTACCTTGAGTACCATGGTTTTCTGCTGATTTACAGACAAGTGGATTGCTTTTTAATATCTAACTGGGCCTACAGAGTCCCAGCACTAGCATGGTGCTTATTTTATTTAATAAGGTTAAACTTCTTGCATGTAAGGTTCCTCCTCTTCAGTACTGAATTTTTGTGACAGCCTCCATTTAGAATGTCTTCTACTTTTCAATCATGTTCTAGTTTGTACTTCTTGCTGTACCTAGATCTTGTCACAATTTGATTTGGACAACGAAAACAGTCTTCTGTTGATTCAAACATTATTCCCTTTGAAGTAGATAGGTCTCTGTTTATTTCAATGTTCCTGCTCCTGGATTTGCAATAGTTCTAATTGCTATTTAATTCTCCAGCCTGAAGAAGCCAATAGTTGTTAGTGTAACTTAGGTTTAGTGTTATTTAAGCCAACAAATTTATTTGTTCTTCTGGTGGCAGAAGTTGCTTGGAACAGGTTTGCACAAGTATATTTTGACAATTGCATAGACTTTGGGCAGTTTACAATGTCAGCAAATTGCCCCTCATTTTACCAACCTCAGAAGGATGGAAAGCCGAGTCAACCTTGAGCCCCATCAGGAGCAAACTCCAAGCTGTGGACAGAATCTGTCTGCATTCTAATCACTGTGCTGCCAGGGCTCCTGTTTATGACCATCCTTCAATTTGGAAGCCTTAGCAACAGTTATTCATGCTATTTAGCAATATATTTTATATAAGGCTACCTTTGAATGTATAGAAACTTTCAGAGAAATGCACTGAAGATAATCTGAAATCTAGGATTTTTTTTAAAAAAAATCTACATCAGAACCCAACTATGCCATCTATGAATAGTGTAAAGCAGGACATACATGAATCAAAAGAATAAGTCTCTTCAATCTGCCACAATAGCTGAAGAAGAACTATGAACCTGAATTACTTGCAGAAGGCAAGCAATCGGGCTGTAGAAAAGCAGAAATAGCATGTGTAATATCTCTCTCTTCCTTCAAAAGCAGATTTATTTTTCTACAATATATAACAAGTAACAGACAATCAGAGTTGGAAGGGCCTTGTAGGTCATCTAGTCCAACCCCCGCCCAAGTGAAAGACCCTACACCATTTCTGACAAATGGCAGTCCATTTGAAAGTCTCAAGTGATGGTGCTCCCACAACTTTCGAGGGCAAGCTGTTCCATTGGTTGATTGTTCTGTCCGAAAGTTTCTCCTTATTTTCTGGTTAAATCTCTCCTTGTTCAGTTTCCATCCATTATTCCTTGTCTGGCCTACAGGTGCTTTAGAAAATAGCTTGACCCCTTCCTCTCTGTGGCATCCCCTCAAATATTGGAAGACCGCTGTCAGGTCTCCCCTGGTCCTTCTCTTTACTAGACTAGCCAAGCCCAGTTCCTGCAACCATTCATTGTATGTTTTAGCCTCCAGTCCCCTAATCATCCTGGTTGCTCTTCTCTATACTTTTTCTAGAGTCTCAACATCTTTTTTATAATGTGGTGAACAAAACTGGATGCAGTACTCTAGGTGTGGTCTTACTAAGGCTTTATAGAGTTGTATTAGTACTTCCCTTGATCTTGATTGTATCTCTCTGTTAATACAATTTAGGATTGCATTAGCTTTTTTGGCTGCTGCTGCACACTGCTGGCTCATATTTAGCTGGTTGTCCATTAAGACTCCAAGATCCCTTTCACAGTGAATGCTATTGAGCCTGGTTTCACCCAGTCTATATGTGTACCTCTGGCTTTTCTTGCCTAGGTGTAGGACTTTACTTTTCTCTACATTGAATTTCATTTTGTTAGATATGGCCCAGTGTTCTAGTCTGTCAAGATCCATCTGGATCTTGAGCCTATCTTCTTGGGTGTTAGCTATTCCTGCCAGCTTAGTATCATCTGCAAATTTGGTAAGTTCCCCTTCTATTCCCTCATCTAAGTCGTTAATGAAGATATTGAAGGGTACTGGGCCTAAGACGGAACCTTGTGGCACCCCACTGCTTACTTCCCTCCATGTAGACTTAGACCCATTAAGGACTACTCGTTGAGTACAGTTTGCCAGCCAGTTGTGAGTCCATCTAGTGGTAGTGCTATCTATTCCACTTTTTTCCAGTTTACTAAGAAGTAGGTTGTGGTGTACTTTGTTGAATGCCTTGCTGAAATCTAAATATATTATGTCCACAGTATTTTGCTGGTCTACTAATTTAGTCATTGTGTTGAAGAATGAAATGAGATTGGTTTGGCATGATCTGTTTTTAACAAACCCATGCTGACTGCTAGTTATTACTTTACTTGTTTCTAGATGTTGGCAAATCTGTTTTTTATTATCTTTTCCAGTATCTTCCTGGGCATTGATGTTAGGCTGATTGGTCTGTAGTTTCCTGGGTCTGTTTTTTTTTTCCTTTTTTTGAAGATGGGAACCACATCAGCTCTTTTCCAGTCCTCTGGTAGTTCCCTGGTGCTCCAGGATTTTTGAAAGATATGGTGCAGTGGTTCTGATATGACCTCTGCCAGCTCCTTTAAAACTCTGGGATGTAATCCATCAGGCCTCAGTGATTTGATATATGATGTGGGATGAGACAATGGGTCTACCTGGTACGGTAGTATTCATCTTCATTGCTGAGTTGCAATTCAGATGTAATCCATTAGAGTTTAATGTGCTGCCTCTCTATATTAGGCACTATTATATACCACTTTCAGCTAGTTGGCAATTTTCTCCCTACCCCAGATAACAAAGGAGACATTGCTACCTTAATGTAATCAGCAGAGCTTCTTTTTCAATATCTGGAACAGTTGCTCTCAAGGGGCAATGTTGGCATTATGCAGTCAGATTACAGGTGAATTCTGCTTCTTGCCATTTTCAAGGTTAACAACTCCCTTTTGCGAGAACAGGTGGACCACTGTGAGACTGATGTGCAGCACAAATCACTTGGTCCTGTTCTAAGCAAGGAGTAGTGATAGTGATGAGTGAGATAGCCTCTTTTGAAATTACATGCCCTCTTTTCAGCTTTCAGGTGTGGGCTAGATGGACACTTCAGCTGGCTTCTACACAATGTGATGCCTGTGAAGGGTCAGATCAGGAAAATGTTCAATACTTGGGGGAAGGGGATTATGCCAGCTTTTCTTTTAAAAAGGCCATGGTGTACCCACTCATGAAGGGGCACTTCCTAGATTCAGTCAAATATTACACGGTATCCAAAGTTTGCCTTTTTTTAAAAAATCATGTACAGAGATGATTTGGAAAAAAATATGTAGTTACTGTAAAATAATAATAATAATAATAATAATAATAATAATAATAATAATAATAATAATAATAATAATAATAATAATAATAATAATAATAATAGTACAAGAGCAGTTTGGTTAAAAGTACCAGACTAGAAACTAGGAGACTGTGAGTTCAAATCCTGGTTTAAGCATAAAATACAAGAAGAGGGCAAGCACTTCTGAAAATTTTCTGAAAAGATTTATGAACTGAGGCATTTGCCAAGAGTCAAGACTGGTATGAAGGCTTATGCACACAGAGAAGGATGTGTGTGTGTGTGTGTGTGTGTGTGTGTGTGTGTGTGTGTGTGTGTAAATTGTACGCTGCATTTGTTACTCATGAAGACAAAAATATCCATATAATATATAAATAACATTAATATGGGATCTTACTAATTTAAATTATTGTGGCATCAAATTGTTTAATTCTAAACAAATGCATTTTTATACAAATTACTATACCAGATATATAGCATGTCACCAATTTTCTTGTAAAAATGGTATTATCTTTGAAGCTAAATATTTCATAAACATAAAAAAGTATAAAATGTTGGTTTAAGTAAGTATATTCTTAAGATCCACATTGCAGGTAGGCCTTAAAGTACAATCTGTCACTAAAAGGCTATTTGAGGTTACGGCAGACTTTCTAAAAACTACATACAACCCTGTTTCAAACTTATGATGGCTGCCAGTGGTGGGATTCAAAAAATTTTCCTACCGGTTCTGTGGGCATGGCTTTGTGGGCGTGGCAGGGGAAGGATACTGTAAAATCTCCAGTCAGAGGTGGGATTTGCTGGTTCTCCGAACTACTCAAAATTTCTGCTACCGGTTCTCCAGAACTGGTCAGAATCTGCTGAATATCACCTCTGATGGCTGCCTATGATCATTGGCCCTTATAACTGACCACAGGGACACTCTAGGTTAGTACCACCACCCTGCCTCTTTATCCTGCCTAAACAAGGCCTTGCCAGGCCAGGGCCTACTTCCCATGGTTCCTGGAAGCAGCACCATTTTCAGTACTTCTAACAATTTACTAGCAAAATGGCAATTGATTTTGGAGCTTTCTGCCTCAATCAGCTGGTCATTGGGAGACTGCAAACTTCTCCTGGCCCTTGTTAGGTTTTGGGGAAGCCAGCCGTATGCAAAGGTGGCAGCTTCAGAAAGAGCTTCCCAAATTCTTTCCTTTGCTTAACCCCTCCCTGCTGCAGAAATTCACATTTTTTCAATAAAAAAACAAAGCTGGATTTACTGCATGCCTGGAAAGTTACTTCAACCCAGCAGTAAAGTTACTTCAACCTAGCAGTAAAGTGCAGTGAAGTAATCCAGCAGTTGCTTACTTTACTGCTGGGCTGAAGAGCAGAAGAAAGAAAAGAAAATCTTTTTGTAGCTGTTGAAGAGCTGAAAAAAAGTGGAGAAGTTGAGCCGGAGAAGCAGTGGAGAAGTTGTGGCAGCAGTGTATCAGCAGTTGAGGAGCAGCTGTGGACAAAGTGCCTTGGTGGATCAGCTATGCTGGAAAATCTAGGGAGAAATGGGCAAGGTTGTGTGGTCCTGATGAATTGTCCCAGCTAACCAGGATAGAGGCCCATCCCACAAGTATGGCTTCATCCACCAAGCAGGAAGGCTTGTTTGGGAGTCTCTCTGGAATTAGAATGCGGTGCTGGGCCTTAATCTAGCTGAACTCTTCCACCCTTCTGGGCTGCTTTTAGCTTTAAAAAGCTTTTTGGTGTTCCTCTGTCTCAGTAGTGGCCTCCCAGGGCCTCCACCACCACCCATGCTTGTTTAGCAACTTGCACATTCATTAAACAGTAGCAATAAGCAGAGCAGGGAATTGTGTGGGGAGGTCATTCCTCACTTAACATTTGTCACCACTTTCAGCTATAATGGGCCGCAGGCTCCATTACAGTCAAGGGCTACCTGTATCAAAAAGCTAGTCTGCAACCAAAGTATAATACTATCATACAATCAAGAAGATCTAATTGTACTTACTGCTGTGCTTCTCTATTTAATTTTTTACAGAGTTTTAGTGAAGGAACACCATGCTTCTTCCTATAGTCATTGTGGGCTCTTAAGACTTCTTCTGAAAATTGCTTGGAGGCTAATGGAGTATAAAATATTAGAAATATTACTGAACAACAGCACATTAAAATGCAAAATCCTACAGTAACTTACACTTTAAACTGTAAAGAACAAAAACAGTTTTACCAATTTATAGAAAACTTACTCTACAATATTTGTATCTTGGATATAGGGACACTATAGAGATACATTTTGGAATTAAAATTCAAAATCCATCCATCCATTGATCCATCCATTCATTCATTATTCTTTTCAACAATTAAATGGTTGATAAATGTAGGCACAAATTAAGCTAGTTAACCTAAGGTTAACATCCTTCTTTAGGGAAGACAGTCCTTCTTTTGTAAGTTCTGTCCTCTCTCGAAAAGTGTCCTCCTACATGTCCTCCTTTTTGATATTTGAAGACTAATCTATAAATCTCCATATTTGATCGATGCCGATCCGATCCGTTGTGTGCGATGTGACATATTTGTATTTGACATGGTGATTCGTCAAGGCTCGGTACAGTATGGCGAGACGCGATTATGAGACGCATGTGCTCCACATAGGAAAAATGTTTTGAGAGAGTGCGCCATGTGCAAGAGCGCACCGCGCACAAGAGTGCACCGCACGCAAGTGGCTTTAGTTTTTTTCTTCAATTTGTGTCCTCCTTCTCATTGTAAAAAAGTTGGTCACCTTAGGTAACCCTAACCTAATATCTCCTAATATTCCTATGGGGATTCTGCTGACAATTTGTGGGTGACTGTGCTGTCCTTTATTCATCTCTGACCTCTGTCTCAAAATATGTTCAGGTAATCCTTGACTTATTACCATAACTGCAGGGACAATTTAACTCCCATCTACTTGCCTATCTGCCCTTCACCTATGATTTTCATTGCCCTGCACTCTGATGCCTCTTCTAACTTTTACTGTCTACTTGTTCCTATTGCTGACATGAAGTGCATAGTTGGCTGGGATTTGCACTGTGAAAAAAAAAAAGCCAAAAACAGCCACACTAGTGGTGGGATTCAAATTTTTTTTACTACTGGTTCTGTGGACGTGGCTTGGTATGCGTGGCTGTATGGTCATGTGACTAGGTGGGCATGGCTGTGTGGTCATGTGACTGGGTGGGCATGGCCAACTCAATGTCACTCACATTGAGGGGCACCTCCCCTGGCCTCTCCTTGCCCCTCCCTCCCTCAGGCACTCCTTGCCTCATCTTGCACGTTATGGTAAGAGAGGAAGCTTTTTCAAAGTCATCTTCCCTTTGATACTAGATGAGATTTTGCCATCAGAAGACCTGATGTACATTTCCAAATATTGTTTATCACCATTCTCTTGGTAAGACTGAGTGGAGAGATTTATAAAGAATAACAAAGTTGGAAGGGACCTTGGACAAATTTTTCTTAAAAACCTCCAGTGATAGTATACCCACAATTTCTGAAGGCATCCCATTTCTCTTATTAATTGTTCTCACTGTCAGGAAATTTCTTCTTATTTCTTGGTTGGATCTGTTTGATAAATTTCCATCTCACATATTCATCTCACAGTTACTTCCAGTTGAGCCAGGCAACACCTATTCTATATCTATGCATTTGGGTTTTTTCTTGCCTAAGTGTAAAATCTTACTTTACTCTCCATTAAATTGCATATTCTACAGTGGTATTCAGTTTGTGTGCACTTGCAAGAAAAGGAAGCATTTAATTTTGCAGCCTGGCTGCATCCCCTGAGCAGCGACCCTAGCATTGGCAGCCACTGCTGCCTCGCGAGACAGACAAGTCCACCAGGCATTCCTGGACAGTTTCCCGGGGACAACGCGTGAAGGGATGATCGTGCCTGGGTCCGAGTTGCCTGGAAACAATGATGGGACAGCAGTGGAACTTCCTCCTCTCCCTCTTTTGGGGAGATATACAAACAAAGGAATGGGAACTTCCAGCCAGGTTTGCCCTGCAACCTCGCCCACCCCCACTGGTAGCTCTTGCCTGGGCAGCTGTTTGGCTTTACCTTGCCCTTACCTTCCTCCCACGGCTAGTGGCACAGGGAAGGCCAGTCCCTCCAGTTCCCGTAATGCCCTGTGATACTTGCCGATGGCTTCCTTCTGATGACTATCGGCTTGCCTCCCAGTCAGTGCAGGAATGACAGGAAATGGTGCGGGCGAAGGAAAGTCCATGCACGCTTGGCAGCAAGACAGGGCATGGTGTGATGGGGCTGTTTTGTTCCTCCTTACCTCACGCCGGTGCTCTTGTCAGTTTCAGCTGCAATGCCCCAGGCCACGCCACAGAGTTTTCCCCACCCACCACCACCCAGATGCCCTCGCTTCTCCCAAGCATTTCTTTGCCTATCTGATGTTCAGCTCTGTCGTGTTTCTTGTCATAGTGTGCAGGATAACAAAAGTTTGTGTGGGGCTAAAAAAAATAATCACTCAATCAATTCCAACTTCGCAAGATCTTTTTATTTTGCGAGAAGTTGGAATTAATTGATTGAACTGTTTTTTTAGCCCCACACAAACTTTCATTTCCCTGCACACTATAGTTAGAAATGCAATGGAGCTGGACATCAGGTAGCAAAGAAATACTTGGGGAATGTGGGGAAAGTGAGAGTAACTCTGGACGGTGGTGGGTGGGGAAAACTCTTCTGCCCACAAAGAGAAGAAGAGAAGGGGGAAGAGAAGGAACTGAAGGAGCTCTGTCTTGCTCCATGCGCCCCAATGAAAGGCAGGGGCAGCCCAACTGCTTCCCTTCCCTGCAAAGAAGGCAGCAAGCATGGTAGACCTGTGGGTCACGTGAAAGTGGGTAGGGAAGGTAGGCAAGCGAGCCCGGGGCCCGGGGACCACTGGGAAGGATGTGGGAAAGGCAGGCAAGCATGATGGAGCCATAGGCTACATGGAAGGGAGTAGAGAAAACAGGCAAATGGGCCTGGCCATGGGGACCGCCGAGAAGGCAAGGAAGCATGGCAGGGCTACGGGCCGTGTGGAAGGGGGCAGGGAAGGCAGGAGGGGACAGTTGGGGGGCAGCTAGCTAGGCCCAGCTCACAGGCTTACTTACCCAGGCAGACAGATCAGTGCCCCTCAGTTGGGCCACAGGTACCATGTGAGACTGTGTGGTCAATGCAAGCGATGAGCCACACAGTTTGCTATGCCAGGGAGGCAAGATGAGGAGTGACTGGACGGGGCAGGTTGGGTAGGGTGAGCAGGCAGGCAGGCAGGGGTGGGGCCAGCCAGAGGTGGTATTTGCCAGTTCTCCGAACTACTCAAAATTTCCACTACTGGTACGCCAGAACAGGTCTGAATCGGCTGAATGCCACCTCTGATGTAGTTCCATTAAGGACTATATGTTGAGTGCTTTTGTCAGCCAGTTACAAATCTATCTGGTGATGATGCTGTCTATCTCACGTTTTTCTAGCTTAGCAAGAAATAAGTTTTGATCAACTTTGTCAAATCCAAGTATACTATCTCCAACTGTACTATTATCCAAGTATACTATCTTCACTGCATTTTGTTGATGCACTAATTCGGACATTTTGTCAAAGAATGAAATAAGATTTGTTTGACATGATCTGTTTTTGACAAACCCGTGTTGGCTACTGGTTATAAATTTGCTTGTTTGTAGCTGTTTGCAGATTTGGTGCTTGATTCTCTTTTCTAGGATCTTCCCGGGTATTGATGTCAGGCTGATAAGTCTCCCCCCCCCCCCCAATTTCTTGAAGATGGGAACCACATCAGTTCTTTTCCAATCTTCTGATAATTCTCCAGTTCTCCAATATCTTTGAAAGATAGGTTCAATAGTTCCAATATCTCTTCTCCTACCTCCTTCAGTATTTTAGGATGTAATCCATCAGTCCTAGTGATTTGAATATCTGCCCGTGGAAAAAGCCAGCTTCCAATAAGACATAAGCTCTGTAGACAGGTGCTAAACTTAACAGGCATTAGTGATGCAGGGTTCTAAACCTGCATCATGCCTCAAAACCATGGCCATGTTAATAGACCAAACTGCATATTATCCCCTGCAAAAATCATGCTGAGTCCTTTCAGATAATTATGTTACTTACTTAACATAAGTAAGATTTAAACAATCACTTCTCCAATTTCATTACAGACCCACTTTTTAAATTTTTCTTCAATTTTCTGCTCTAGCTGGAGACCTTTATTCTCCCTCTCTGGAACACTTTTCTTCAATTATAGAAAGCAGAATCCAGTTTCAATTGTGCTTGAAATAACAAGCTTGATAACAAAATACAGAACTTGTTTCTTTTCATTCAGCCAAACGTTATATTGCTAAACAAATTAAAGTGTATTTGTTGTAAATTTGCCCCACCCTGCACCGCAGTCACAAGATGCTTTTTTCTCTCTCTGCTGACTCAGAGGCTGCTCTCTCTCCCCTCAGCCACAAACAGTTTAGAAAGGCAGCCGTGTTTATTTCTTAGTAGTCCTGGTGACCGTTTCATTTTGCTTGCTTATTTATTAGCTACCCACTTGCAAATTAAATTAACTTATTTTTCAAAGCTTTCCATGGGTTCTGAAAAAAACAACCCAGTACAGCTAGGGAAAGAGAGAAAGGAAAAAAAGTACTTTTTTATCTGCAGAACTGAAGAAAGAATGGTTTAAGATTGCAACATCAAAACCAACAGCCAAAAATCCTGAGAATGAGGTTCCCATTTCTAGTTAAGAAGATTAATTTTTATGAATTTAGTTATTTAGTTTTCATGAGTTTAGTTATATGTTGTATACTGTCTTTAGCTATTAAGCAAAATAATCACATGAAATTATTGTATACATTTTCTCCTAAACTTTGCACTTCTGCGCGGATTTGGGCTTTCAAGAAAGTATAAACAATATGCAAATGTAATCATTTATTTCATTAATTTTTATGGCTTTTAATTTTAAAAAAGGAGTTGTACTTCTGTTCTTTTGAGGGTAAATTGTGGCATTTTGCTTTTGCTAAACTAAAAACACTCCTAGAAACAAAGCAGGAAGAGTGGACATTATCCAAACTAAAAAAACAATGGCATTCAGAGGTTCAACATGTAATCCATCAATTCAGAAACATCCAGCACCACCTTAAGCATTGTTTAGGGTAGGCTAGGCAAATACAGGTAGTCCTTGACTTACAAGCACAATTGAGCCCAAAATTTCTATTGCTAAGTGAGAAATTTGTTAAGTGAGTTTTGCTCCGTTTTATGACTTTTCTTGCTGCAGTTGTTAAGTGAATCATTACAGTTGTTAAAATAGTAACATTGTTGTTAAGTGAACCTGAATTCCCTATTGATTTTGCTTGTCAGAAGTTTGCAAAAGGTGTTCACATGACCCCATGCCACTCCCATAAATAAGAGTCAGTTGCCAAGCATCTGAATTTTGATCACATGTTCATGGGGATACTGTAATGGTTGTAAGTGTGAAAAATGGTCATAAGTCACTTTTCAGTGATGTTATAACATTGAATGGTCACTAAATGAACAGTTGTAAGTCTAGCACTACTTCAAACATTTTGATTCCTGAGCTATTATCCTCAGTTGAAAAGTACTACAACTGAAAAGATGCATCAGATGCAATGTATTCTGCTATTACTGTTTTACTTTCCATGAAGTAATTGGTTATGGAAATGAGTAATGAAAGAAACTGAAGGAAAATTATCAGGGAAAATGGACTGGATTTCTCTGCTGAACTCACAATACATATTTCTCTTCACCAAAAAAGGAATTACACATACTCCCATTTAGCACTTTATCAGAAAAAAACTATATTTTCCACCAATGTAGGCTTTAAGATGGCATTGATACATATAGATCCCTCTTATGACTATCAAACTTCAGTAACTATAATTCTTATAAAAATCTTCTGTATGGCCAAATAACATTAGATGATGTTGAACTGAAATGACATTATTTGGCCATTGGTCATTAGGGGCCATAATCTTTATTAATGATAAGAGATTGTGAAAGCATCACAATTAATGGGGTTAATGCATTTGTTTGGTTTTTGTGGGGGCATTGTTGTACTGTTTATTGTTCTAGAAGTTTTGGTCTATAGGCAACCAGGTTTGGATCTTTGGTCAAGAAGGCTGTCTGTTTATGTAAGTTTTAGCCATTTTAATTGTTTGGAGGAAAGGTTGTTAATCACCCACAGTCTTCTGAAATGGCTAGCATATCAAATCTAATCTAATTAAATTGTTATTACTAAATCTCTTATAATGAAGAAGCCAGCTGCAATATATTGCCACTTTAACAATATTTAAAAGCCCTGTCAGAAATTAAATGTGATCATCAAAGCCCAAAATCAGCAGTCAGAAATACTAACCATTTTCAGGGAATTAAATGTCTTTTGAACTGCATTCTAATTCAAGATAACATTAACCACTAAAACAAAATATGTTAAATTTAGAATAGCTTCTATTAAAATTATATTGTTTCCAGATTCTGAGAGTTCTGTAAAGTTTCCTCTTTCATGGCTTTAAAGGGTCCTTAAAATACAATTTTATTTCATTAGACCTTCAACTCTAATTAAATTTTTGGTGATCCATCTTGATGGAAGTAGGGGCTAATTTATTATTACTATTGAGTTTCATAATTTTGTTTTTTTCCCCTTTTATTACTTTTATAGATTAATGTGTTTATTTTATTCACACTGTAACTACAAAATAAATAATGGTCTAAGATGAAGCAAAACATTTTTATCTCTGATTATGTTGTTTCAACAAATGGTAGCCTATTTCCTTTTTTATATTTTATGACCTATGTATTTACTTTGTAGTTACAGTGTGAATAAAATAAACACATAGGTCATAAAATATAAAAAAGGAAATAGGCTACCATTTGTTGAAACAACATAATCAGAGATAAAAAGGTTTTGCTTCATCTTAGACCATCAAGAACAGCTGCTAATTCTATGAACAATATACAAGCAAGCATCTGAACTGACAGATATTACTCACTATTTCTCTTACATCATTAATCAAATCTTTCCACAATAATAATTAATACAAAACTAATCATGTGTCTCTAAGAAAAACGGGGATTGGTTGATTGGGAGAGTTCTGCAAATCAGCTTTTAACTACTACCCACTCTTGAAATTCAAATGTTACCGTATTTTAAATGTAACTATGTTCTCCTAGAAAGAAATTTCTATCAGTCTAAGAGTATAGATAAATTTGAATGCATACTCTTTAACAGTGTAAAGTACATATGAAGATATGGGGCAAAACAAACAAATTGATGAACAATTTAAAGTGTAATCATTTACCTACCTGATTTCCCCATATTTATGTTCTTGATTTAAAAAGCTGCTTCTCCTTTAAATACTCCCGTTTGATAGAAACTAATTGCAATTTTCTGGTAGTGGATTTAAAGAATCTGCTTCTCCTTTAAATGCTACTTTTTGCTAGAAACTGGCTGTAATTTCCTGGTAGTGTTCTGAGCTCCTTGACTGCACGAAACAACCATGCATAATAAAGTGCAATCATCCATTCACAGTGCTCAATAGTCTAACGATGCCATATAAGGAATAAAGACTTTTTTTTCTTTTTCTAAAGTGGAAGCTCCCTTGAAATCAAACATTCTTCATCCTGCAAGTAACATAGCAACACAAGAAAATATTGAATGATTTCATCTATTAGTGAAAGCAAGAGGAAACTGGGGAGAAAGAATATTAAAGCAAAATATGTTAATGGCATTCAGTGATGCACATTTTAGCAAGAACAGGATTTTCCAAATGAGTTGAGTCTCTTCCATGCTATAATCCTGAAATGTTACTGTGTGTGCACTACTGATCTAGGAAGTTGTTGCATGTTGCATTTTTAACAATATAGACTTTTATTATATGCATTTCTGTAATTCCAAGATTTAATAGAACAAAACATAAGCAAAGTACTCAAAGAGTTTTGTCATGCTTATATTGGTGATTATTGTTGCTGCCTGATAATGTAACCAAGTAAATAGATTTAAGGCTACTCCTCACATTTTACCAAACACAGCACCTTATTTGCTGTCTCTTGCAATTCAAGCCAAAATAAATGTAGAAAGCTTGCCTAGCCATGACAGCAGTTCAAATTATATGAAAATAGTTTCCTGCCAACTCAAGGAAAGTATTAAAAACATTAAAATAACCATGAGGAAGTGCCTATAATCAGGTATACATTCCAAATAGCTTATTTAAAACTCAAACTAACTGCAACTCTTTTGAGTTGTAGAAAGTTAGCACCCACCACTCTCCTAGAAGAATGAAATATTTTGAGAAATATTAAAAAGGCAGAATATTATATTTCCCTGGATGAGAAATTGAGAAATACTTTTTTTAGAGGGAGAAAACAGCCCCTACCTTTCTTAATAGCCCACAGCAGATGTCAGCACCTAAGAGATAAAGAGATAAGTAGCCTTATTCATAGGCAAAGCAAATACTGCAGGTGGAAATTCATTCAAGACAGGTGTGGCAATAACATTCTGAGCACCATCTCTGCAGTTCTAAATTGTTAATACAGGATCTTTCTTTATAATTTGTCCTTTTTTTAAACGGAGCTTTTTTTCAAATAGTCACTTTTTATAGTCACTTTTTACAGTATTAGCTACTTCTGCCACTCTCCAGTTCTCCTGTTTTTCAATATACTTTTCCTATATATAATTGCTTTGAGTTTATTAAAATCTACATTTTGGTTATCTAAGATATAGCTGAGCAGGAGAATGGGTGAGACAATAGTTGCAGTACCGTGCAACCATTGAGTGTAGCCAGCAATTACCATGTTTCCCCGAAAATAAGACCAGTTCTTATTTTCTTTTTGGCCCTAAAATAAGAACCAGGTCTTTTTTTTCAGGGATGTTTTACTTGCTTACCTTAGAACCACCACAGCCATGCCTCCCACACCCCAACACCTGTTGCGCCTCTGCCCATTTTTTTCTGTGGGTGCTCACAGCCACTTGTAGCCAGATGCCACATGGCTCATGCTGGTGTTGTTGCTCACAGGACGCTTTGAGGCTCATTGCTCCAGTAGTGCCACTCACAGGACATCACAAGGCTCATTGCACTGGTGCCACTGCTTGCAGCAGGAGGCTGCATGGTGCATTGTGCCATTGCATGCACGAGTAGTGCCACCAGCATGATTAACCTTGCAGCATTCTGCCATGAGTGGCAGCACTGGCATGATGAGCCTTGCAGCATTCTGCCATGAGCAGTGGCACCACATGGCATCTGGCTGCAAGTGGCCGCAAGCAGATACAGAAACCAGGCGGCGGTGTGACAGGTGTCAGGGTGTTGACCGCGGCCGAGGCAGCGAAGCAACCGCAGCTGAGGCAGCGAAGCAGTCAGCGGCAAAGATGCGGCAGATGAACGCAACAGACCGCCCGACAGCCACAGAAATGACGCCAAACCCGGAAAAACGACCGGAGGCCTGCTGAGGCGCAAACCATCGTGACCCACTGGGGGGCATTCCTATGCAAAAGACTCCAATTCGGAGTCAGCGTGGCACCAGGGGTATTCCAGAGTCTGATGGAAAGACTATTAAAAGGAATAAAAGGGGTGGTACCCTATTTCGACGATGTGTTAATATCTGCCAAAAATAAAACCAACTAGAGAGCCGCCTAAGGGAGGTCCTACAAAAATTTAAAGACACCGGGCTAAAAGTTAAAAAGGAAAAGTGCAAATTATGCACAGAGAAAGTAGAATTCCTGGGATACCTACTTGAGAAAAACGGAATCCACCCCACAGAAAAAAAGGTTAAAGCCATCAAAGAAGCCCCTAGACCTCGAAATAAAATGGAACGGCAGGCTTTTCTTGGACTCATTAATTTTTACAATGTTTTCCTGCCCCAGAAGGCGACCACGGCAGAACCCCTACATAGGCTGCTGGACAAAACAGGCACCTGATCCTGGGGAAAGCGGGAAGAAAACGCCTTCCAGAAAATAAAGGTCCTACTAACATCAGACGCAGTCCTCATGCAGTACAGCGAAACCCTACCGTTGACCGTGACCTGCGACGCTTCACCCTTTGATGTGGGAGCCAGCCTAAGCCACACTCTGCCGGATGGGAGAGAAGCGCCAATCGCCTTCTTCTCAAGAACATTGTCCAAGCCCAAGAGAAATTACAGCCAGCTGGACAAGGAGGCGCTAGCAGTAATCACCGGCGTGAAGCGGTTCCACGAATACCTATATGGCAGGACCTTTTCAATTATCACTGACCATAAACCGCTACTTGGAATATTGGCAGGGAACAAGGCCACCCCGAACATACTGTCACCAAGGATGACAAGGTGGTCCGAGTTCCTTGCCGCCTACAGCTACCAGCTGGCACACCGACCCGGAAAAAGCATCACACATGCAGACGCCCTGAGCCGCTCCCCCCTGCCCGACCTGGAAGACGACCCAGCACCCACAACCTCGATGCTACATATCGAGACACTACCCAATCCACCCTTGACCGCGTCAGACATTGCCAAAGAGACTAATAAAGACAAGCGGCTGGCGCGGGTCTGGAATTGGGTGGAGAAAGGGTGGCTGGAAACCAACGGAGGCGAGCAGTTTAAAACCTTCCGAAACCGGCAGACCGAGCTGTTCACACAGAAGGGTTGCATACTTTGGGGAGACAGGGTGGTAATCCCTGAAACACTACAAAAGAGAGTGTTGACTATGTTGCAAGAGGGGCACCCGGGCATAGTTAAGATGAAAGCCCTGGCCAGAAGTTATGCCTGGTGGCCAGGGATGGACAAGCAGATTGAAACGTGGGTGGCCTCATGCAGGAAATGCCAGGAAGCCAGACCAAACCCTCCCTCCGTGCCGATTCTGGAATGGGAGACCCCCAGAGGGCCATGGTCCAGGGTCCATATAGACTTCGCCGGACCCACAAAGGGACACACATTCCTAATAACGGTTGACGCTTATTCCAACTGGCTGGAGGTTAGCGTCATGAAATCCACCACTATGGAGGCCGTTATCAAAGAACTAAACAAACTGTTTACCACCCATGGACTACCAGACGTGCTAGTGTCAGACAACGGACCACAATTTACCGCGCTAGCATTCGAGAAATTCCTGGCTGAACGGGGCATACGGCATGCGTTGACAGCGCCCACTCATCCAGCGGCGAATGGGCGGGCGGAACGCATGGTTCATTACACAAAAAATACAATAGAAAAAATTGAAACCGGGGACATACACGACAAAATAAATAAAATGCTACTGATACAACACATAACACCCAACACAAGGACAAATAAAAGCCCAGCAGAGCTACACGGGCAGAAAATTACAGTCCCAGCTAGACAGACTACACCCCACATACAACCCCGAGAAACCCCCAGACTCATCGAGCAAATACCGAATATTTGCCCCAGGAGACGCAGTCTATGCAAAAAACTTCACAGGGGACCCGCTCTGTGTATCGGCAAAGATAACCCAGGTAACGGGGCCCCGGTCGTACCAACTACAAACAGACGACGGGAAAAGCTGGAAACGACACATCAACCAACTAAGGTCGAGAACAACCAACAACAACACGGACAGCACACAAACACCACAAATAAACATTAACAAAGAAACCAGAGGGGGGGGAAACCCCAAGCAACACGCAAAGAGAAGAAGAAAATTCCCAAACACAACCCAAACACCCCCAAGCCAAAATAAACCAGCAATACTCACTGGTAGATGTCGTCAACAGAAGGGAACCCACGGTGGATGAGCAACAGGGTGCTTCCCCTGGAAGGAGCAGCCAAGCCAGCTCAACCAGCCTGGAAAGACCAGGCGGGAACAGCGGAGCCGACAACTCGACCGACACTGGTAGACCGTGTGGGAGTTGCAGTGATAGGCCCGACTCACCCTTCCAGGCGGTTCCATCAAGGAGGATGAGAGCAACAAGAAATCCATCCAAACTGGCCGATGACCAGACAGCAACTGAGCTGTGCAGGTCAAGTAGGCAAGTACGGAGCCCCGCCTACCTGCATGACTACATCCCATAGGACTGAACCAAGAGGGGAGGGGTGTTCTGTATTAACATACTCCAAATACTAATTTCTGATTGGTCCACACAAACGACATTGGGATTGGTCCACTGAACGGCAGTGATTGGTCCGCTAAGAATCAACTGCGATTGGCCGAGCCGATCGCGGGAGATTCAAAGACCTGTCATTGGCCGGCAAGCCGCGAACAATCCCTATATGAAGGGCTGCCGTGGCTCCAAGATCTTGTACAGATCTATACATGAAATAAAGAGCTTGAAGTACACTGGTCTCGCGTCTCTTTCGTACCCGATCTAACAAATTCAATGGTGAAAAAAGTAAGGTTCTATCTACATTTAGACAAGAAAAATTAAATGCACAGTGGTACACTATGTGGTACCTTGCTCAATAGTAGTAACTGTAAAGGGATCTAAGAGTCCTAGTGGACAACCATTTAAATATGAGCCAGTAGTGTGCAGCAGCTGCCAAAAAAATCAACACAGTTCTAGGCTGTATAAACAGAGGGATAGAATCAAGATCATCTGAAGTGTTAATAGCACTTTATAATGCCTTGGAAAGCTTGGAATACTGCATTCAGTTTTGGTCACCACAATGTAAAAAAGATGTTGAGACTCTAGAAAGAG